ATCTTGAGCTTCTTTAGTATTAAATATTTTCTTCTTTAACTATAATTCAGTAAAATCTTTTTTATTTTCTCAATATTCATTAAACTTGGCTTTTATTAATTCAATATTTAGATGTTCTTCTTTATTTAATAAATTCCAAAATAAAATAAAGTTTTTTTTCTCTTTCTTGTTGCAGATTACTAACATTCATTGAACCTCTCAAATAAGCAGCAGCACTAAATTATGTATTTTAATTTTAGTATTTTATTATTATAAGTAAGACAGTAAACCATACTCACCAAAAACTAGTATAAGTCTTAGGATCATAAACATGATCACTTGAAAAATTTTTAGCAATAATTTTTATTTTGTATCTATACTATTGAAGAACCATAGCAGTTGTTAAATCAATAACACCAGCACCAAGAATAACAATCTCTAACATTGTTGTTTATAGTTTCTTAATTATTTTAGTATTCTCAATCAAAATGAAAATATTAAAAATGTAATTTAAAATTTAATGTTTACATGCTAATTTACTTTATTATATTAACAAATCAAAAAAAAAAATTTAAGAATAAACATTTTTACAAAAGTTATTGTCTAACATGGTACTATTCCAATTATAAGATAAGTGTATGATGTTACAAAGTCTTATTCATTAAACTGGGAACTAATTATTAGATACTTGGAATGTAATAGTTAAATGGTACTACCAGAATTATAACTATAATCTTTATCAGTATAAAAACATATTTAATATAATCTAATCAAATTATGATAATTGAAATCTAATATATGATCTATTTAAGATATGTTCATGTATTTCTATTCATGTTGTTGAGTTTTTAAAAGAACTACCACAAGAATATCATGAACAAATGATTTCAAGTATTATAAATAAATCAACTATAACATATGAAAACTACTTCTAAAAAAAATATAACAAACCTAAACTTGGAAAAACACCACATCTACCAAATGCATTTATTCTTTATTATATAAAGAAACAACAATTATTAATTGAACAAAATTCAGAACTTAGTAATAATGAAGTTTTCAAGTTCATAGTAAATATATGACACAATAGATCTTATAAAGTAAAAGATGAATGGCATATATTAGCATTAAAGAAAAAATCAAAGCATGTACAAAAATATCCAGATTACAAATACCACCCTTGACATTTGAATAAGAAACAAAAATAAATTAAGAAAAATAAACAAGAAAAAAGGATTAAAAAAAATAAAACTCCAGAATCTGAAAAAGAACCACTTATTATTAAAAACTAAACAAGTAATTAAACCTAAAAATAAACAAGTTTTATAAGAAATAAACTAACCACAATTAATAGAATACAACGATCAGTTTGAAACTAATTTTGATATAACTAATAATTAAATTATTAATGAATATTTATTTAACAATCCTCCAATAGAAAAAAACTTTATGTACATTCCTTATTTTTTATGTCTATGTAATCTGATATAAATTAAGATACATTTATGCTTGTATAAATACTATGTAAACTAAAAATTATAATAAAAATATAATATAATAAGATTAAAACAATAAAATTAATTAACAATAATTGCAACCAAGACAACTTGATATTATCAGTTTCAATATAAAAGACCTAAATTATAACATTAAACTCAAAACAAAATGGCTAAAGCAACAAAAACTAAAACTATTATTAATATTTTTGTACAGTTTAATTTAAACAAACAAAACTATATTAAATCTGAACAATTTACCAGAGCTGTCAAAAACTTAGATAGTGATGAAACTAAATATATCTATTTGATATGTCACTTTGATGCTAATGTTGAAACAGAACATACAATTGTTCTTATTGAAAATGAGAATGGTAAATTAATGAAAAACTTAAATACTTTAAAGAACAAGATAAAAAAACTTTTAGATTTTCAATCTTTGAAGATGTTTATAGATATACAGATTGCATGATCACATTAGATAGAATTCGAGTTCTTAAATTTTCAATTCTTCTCAAACATGCTATCAAATGGCCCAATTTGATGGATAAAAAGAATATTTAAAAGATAGTTAACTTGGACTTTATAAATATTACTAGGAAGTTTAAAAATGAAATAAACAAAAAATATATTCAAGAATCTGTTAAACTTCATAGCAAAGACAAAATCAATATATGCTTTAATATATTTAAAAGATTTGATTATAATTAAAATAGAAAAGCAAAACAAAGTTTTTATTTTGAAGGAAAATTTTTTGAGAACAACACAAAGTTTACTATATTGGAGTTGATACACAAACCAGTAATAATGTGGTTTACTGTATTGAAGAAATATATAAAGATTCTTTAATTAGTTCTTTATTTGATAAAATGTTTGCATATTGTATTACTAAAGAAACTGGTTGTAAAGCTGAAAACAGTTTGTTTATTATAATCAAAGCCAAATAAATATTTTTAATCAATAAAATAATAATCTATTTTTGGCATATGAAGCATGCAATTACAAGCAGCCACTTTAGCAGATGGTTGTTGCAGGTGGGCCATAGGTGGGGTAGGAAGGAACCTGTGATGAGAACTCTTGATCTTGCCTTATTGGTTTGAAAGAATTAGCAATAATCCTATATCCAATAAATTAATAAATATAATGCTATAAATAATTATAAAATAAATAAACAAATACATAAATATATAATCAAATTCTTTATTTAAATGCAATTTGTATTTGTAATTTCAATTAAAAAAATGTCATCAGTATCAGATTCTGATAGTAATATTCCAAGTAAAAATTATGTATTAAACTCTCTTAATAATTTTATAACACAAAGAAAAATTGAAAACCCAATTAAACAAGAAATAATTGTTATTTCTAGTAATAAAGAAGAGTTACCAAGTGTTGAAACACTTCTAGCAAATATTTCTAAAAAGAGAAAAATAACATCGATTTCAAAAGATTTAGAGAAATTACAAACTAGTAATAATTATATTTTTTTTCATAAAAACAAAGAGTATCAAATCAACAATTGTAAGAAATAAGAAAATTTAAAGAGATTCAAAAAATAATTTAAAACTAAAATATTTTTAAATATAATAAATGAGTTAGCTAAAAACTTTAAAGAGAATATTTTTTTCAAAAAGCTTCAAAATATGAAAAAAGCAGAATAAAAAAATCTTTTGTTTGTTTAAAATGTTTTATGATTTTTTTTTAAATTATTATATATATCAAGAATATAAAATAATTTTCAAACATATTTTAGATTATTATATTAACTCTATAGAATATGATCAAGACAAATGTAATTTGATTAATGAAGTCTTTTTTTCTGAAATTGGTATATTTCTAATTTTAGAGAATTTCAAAGTTGATCATAATTTAGCTAATAAGATAAGAATTGATAGTGCTGAATATAGTTTTAAAAATTTTTATGATATAAAAGATAAGAGTTATTTTATTAGAAAAAATTAATTTGTTTATAGAAAGTTTTAAAGATAAAATACTTATTATTATTGATTAATATGTAACATATTTGTATATAATATATAATGTTTTTTTACTTTACTTTCATATGATATTTTTATTTAATAATTTTTTATATATTTTCTAAATAAATATTTTTTGATAAATATTAATTCTTCAATAATATACTAAATAAAGAGTTTTCTTTATAGAAGTTCTTTGTTCTGACTTTGCATATTGCAAATCTTTTATTTATTCAATTTCATTTAGAGGTTTTTTTGTACTCCTATAAGATTTTTGATTATTAATTAAGAATATAATTATGTAAAATATTGTAACATGATGTTAAGTTTTTGAATTTTGATATTTTTTTATCATTTCAGATTTTACATAAAAAATTAATAATCATTTATGTACCAATATTTATTCCTGTTACTACAGTACTGGACAGCAAGAAACATCCAATTTTTTTGCTTTTACTTAAAACAAAATAATTTAATAAAAAACTATTATCCTAAAAAATGCTTTTACAAATTTGTTATTTATAATCTAAACTACAAATCTGTAAGACAGATTTTTAATATTTTACATTTTAAAAAAGTTATACTGATTTAAATCTCTTCAACTTTTATAATAGAATTGAAATTTGGCATGGGTAAATTAACCAATCATGATGTATTTGGTCATGTGCATGCAATTCTATTGGCTTATCTTCCATTATGAGTGCTGCCAAGAAAAAAACCTGTCATCTGGTTTTAAATTTATCATTAAAATTGCCATCTAATGAATCAGATAAACTGAATCCAGCAACCAATAAATATACAACCCCAATGACAGACTTTCTTTTGGTAGCGTTCTTCGATGAAGTTATGATCATGTGCATCATTGTAAATTTGGTAACAATGGAATGATGAAATTAAAGTAAATCGAAGTTAAAATATACCACAATATAAAAAAGACAAAATAATAAAAAAAGTTAAGTCTTTGAGAGGTAACAGTAGATTGAAGTTAATGGAAAATGATTCTGGCTAATGCATAATTATTATTAAAATAGATATATTTGAGTGTATGAGATATTAAACCTTAAAAAAATCTAATAGCTAAAGCATTGAGAAACATGCAATTTCATATAAAAAATCTTTGAAAGTATATATTTTTTTTGAACCCATGTATATGTATATACATATAACATGTGCAATCAAAGGATTCATATGTACTGTACATACTAGTATTATTTTGTTTGCTTTATGTTACATGAATGTAAAGGCATAATTGAATGTAATACTTAACCTTTAACATTAATACATTGTTGTAAAAAAATTATGGTTGTATATAAAAGAGGCAGGTGATTGTTGGAGTATGCTGGATTTTTCTTCCTACATATTAAGCAATTTCAAGCAAATAATGAAGTTGTTGACTCAAGCCTGTTGTTACATGTTTTACTATGAACATTTAGATTATATGATTTTTTTTTTTTTTTCATATAATGGTTTTGATATATAATGTACAATTGCACCACACAAAGAAATTAAACAAAAAAAAAAAAAAAAATAATAAATTTTAAATTTCATCATGCCTAAACTTATGGATATCAGAAAGTTACGAAAAGAAAAAGCTAAAATAGCTTGCTCTGCACATACAAAATATTTACTTATTGACCTTAATTCAAGTAGCGAAAATTCAAGTGAAAGCCCAGATGACGATTTATTGGACCTAGATAATTATGATGAAAATTCAAGCATCAAGTGACTTTTTGCAGCTTCACAAATGAGTTTTAAAAAAAAAAGGTGACCTGCTGTCTATATCGAAAATTCTAAACATACAAGACAAAGAAAGAATAAAATATTCAGAGAAGCTGCAAAAGGAAGTTTAAAACTTTCTCACTATTTTAATAATACTTAAATGTCAGTCATTAATAATAATGAGAATGCTGAAAACCTCCAAGGCCAGAAGTATCAGGTAGGAAGATTATATTACTGCATTATAGAGAAATCAGTACTTTGACATAAAAGTAATATTAATTTATAGGTTCAAGAATTAAATGAAAGACTAAATCATGAATGGAATGATGAGCTGAATGATGAACTGAATGATGAATTGAGTAATGAATTAAGCGAGGAATTGAGTGAGGAATTGAGCAAGGAATTGAGCAAAGAATTAAGCAAGAAAAAAAAGAAAATCTGCAGTACAATTGAATTTGTGAATAAAATAATGAGCGAAAAAATACTTTCAAAAGTAGAAAAAGCTTGTTATTTGTCAGTTCTTAATTTTTTTTGGTTACTTCTAAAAGGTCAAAAAAAATTGAAGGCAGCAAAAGCAGTTACAGATATAGTTGATAGTGGTTCATGGCTTGGGAGATGTATCAGAGAGTGGGCAAATAAATGTATAAAGAAGGAATTAATTGAACTGGACCTTTGAGGTAGATTCCTGTCAAAAAGTTTTCTTCATGATGAGTTGGCCTCCATTCAGTTGGCAGCCTATTTGCACTCTCAAAAGTTTAAAGTAGACCCTATTATGGTCAAAACCTACTTTGAACAAAATATTCTTTTTCAGCTAAACATCAAATTGGTTCAAAATATATCAATTTGAACTTGTCATCAATGGAAGCACAAACTTGGTTTCTGGTATCAACATTACCAAAAAGGTGCATATATAGATGGTTATAAACACCAAAACGTTGTCAAATATCATTAAAAATTTCTTGAAGCAGTTAGCCAACTCAAGCAATTAATGTCTAAATGGGTTGACCCTGAATGCAAAATTAGAACATTTTCAGATTTAAACAATAGTAAAAAAGAGCATATATGGGTGACTCATGATGAAACTACTTTTTATGTTTATGATGGGCCACATTCTATGTAGGGTCCAGAAAAAGAGCAACCATTATGAAAAAAGAGTTTGGTTCTGCTGTGCATGTAAGTAATTTTTTGACAGAAACTATAGGGCCACTTAAAGACGAACAAGAAGAAGCATGCGTAATGATGGTATGTTTTTAAATAATATGAAAATAGTAAAATCTAATATCATTTTTATTTATTTATTTTTAAATTTGCAGGTTTTGGATGCCAACCGGGATGGCTATTGGGATTCTAAAAAACTATTAGAACAAGTTGTACAGGCTGTTGACATTTTTGAGAGAACACATCCAAAATGTGTAAGTGTGTTTGTTTTTGATAATGCAACATCTCACAAGGCTTTTGCTGAAGATGCCCTTGTTGCTTCCAAGATGAACCTTGGCCCAGGCAGATCAGTTCCGAAAATGCAGAATACAATGTAGAGTGGTGATTGGCAATCAAGGATTATTGAAGAGGATCATTTCATTTATGATAAAAAAAAAATAACATATTAATTTATATGGTCAACCCAAAGAAATTCAATGAGTTCTAAGTGATAGAGGATTATGAAAAGATGGTATGGTGCTTGAGTGTATTTCATGCAAAAAAAAAGAGGCAGATCCTAATGTTATCGATTGCTGTACATGTTGGTTAATATCTAATCAAACAGACTTTCTTGAACAGTGTGGTCAGATTCAACAAGAAATTGAATCTTGTAGACATAAAGTTTTATTTTATCCTAAATTTCATCCAGAGATCAACCATATTGAAATGTATTGGGGAATGGCAAAGAGATATACACAATCTCACTGTGAATATTCACTTTCAAAAACTAGAAAAACAATTTGTGAAGATTTAGATTCCATTTCTGTTGAACAAATTTGCTCTTTTGCAAAGCTTTGTATAGATGAATAGATGCTTATCATTATGGATTAACAAGAAAAGTGGCTGAATATGCTGTTAAAAAAAGTAGAAAACATAGAATGTTTAACAAAAAAATTATGAATTGGGTTAGTAAGTTCTTAAAATAATAAGGTTACTTATCTGGTTTATCTTCAAAATTGGGAATATTCATTTTATTTTTTATTGTTATTTTTTTTTATCATTTAAAATTTTATGCATTTTAACTAATATATGTAATTTATTGATGTGATTTTACAATAAAGTTGATTATTCAAAAAATCTTTAAAAAATTCAGTAATTCAGTAATTCAAATTGTAAATCTTTAAAATTTAAATATTCTATATACTGTATATGCATTGTTACTAAACAGTAATGATCAATAATAATATTTAAAATTTCTAAGAACCCTAAATATAATTATTTTGTTCTCATCCTAATTTAGGGATCATTTAAAGCCAGGTAGTAATTTATTAGCATTATATGATCTTTACTTTACAAATTTATAATTAATCAACTTGCAAACTACCTGTCTTTAGACTATCCCTAATTTAGAAAGTAATTTACATAATCGCTTACCAGTAAAGGTTATCAAAAAAGCTAATTTATCTTTGAGTATGCCAATTATTTTTTTATTCTGATTTTTTAAACTCTTACTTATTTCAAAATAAGCAGTTTGCAAAAGAGTATGTCATAAAATCAATAAAAATCAGCTAATCTTTGTAATTATTCGACAATTTTAAAGAGTTTGAACAAATATAATTGAAAAATATGACCAATAGGCAATTTAAAATTCTCACTACTACTGTTGCAAAAGTCACAAAGTCACCTCTTTTTGCAAAGTGCTATAATAAACCTCCAATAAGTTAATTTGCAACTGTTAGTCAAATTAAAATCAATTCTCTATTATTGAGAATATATTGGTAAAGAAGTGCATGAATGTATTAGACAAGGCAAATTCTTAAAACATTACAACTTTATGAAGAATGCCATTACAGTAAAAATTTTTAATAAATATGTTCTTTCATTTCAGTTATTATTTAATGGCAAGTAAATGTAAAACCTGCTTATCAATATCAATTCTTTAGAGCTAAATTCGCTATGGCAAACTTGGGCCTTTACTTGTATCAAAGTAGAAATTTTAGAATATGGTAATATTTTAGTCTGTATTCAAAAATAATTGCCTATACATATAATTGTAGATAACTGGATAATTTGATAATACCCAAGTTAAGATTTTTACTGTGGGTACAACCTTTAACTTACAGGTTTTCATTCAAAGCATTCATTTAAAAAAAAAACACAAGCTTTCGAAAGAAAAATAAATTTAAAATTATTAATTTTAAATTTATTTTAGAGATTTAATTACCAGTTATTAAACACTCTAATCTATAAATTTAGTGACCAATCATTGATATTACATGTGACTAATCTGCATAAAAATTAGCCAATCATAAGTTGTATTACCTGTAACAAATTTGGCACCTTTATTAAAAATTGGATTTTCTTGCTGTCCGGTACTGTATTTAAAATTAATAAATTTAAGTTATAAGAATTTATTACTTTAAACAATACTAAATTATCAAAAACAATAAGTAAAAAAAGTTTTGGCAAACGAAAATTTAAAGAACTTAAAATTATAGATATTGCAATAATGTAAATAAAATAATAATAAAAAATGAAACAATAAACAATTGTATATTTTCTAAACTTTCAGAAAGTGAATGAGATATGTTAATAGGTCATTAGATAACTGAAGTTATCAATCTTATTAATAAATTATGTTTTGATATTGAATATCTTGTTGTTGATTTTACAATAATTAAAGATACAACCATCAAATTAAATAAAATGTCATTTTTGCAGATTTGGGTGATCTATATTGTCATGGTACTAAAGAAAAATCTCTTCATAACTGATGATGTGGTACTAAAAATCACATGTTCTCAAATTTATAATGGCTTATTATTATTTTATTTATAGTGTCAAAATTGAAGTCACTGCATCTACAGACAAAGCTGCATTTTAATTAAAATCAACTAACAAATCTGACTAAATATTCCACTCTACATTCAAACTTAGTAAATAAATAACTAAGAAAACTCTAAAATAGAAAGTTAGAAATAAGATATATTGTGATTGGCTTGAAACTGTCAGAGCCTTGATTATTGATGAGTGTTTGATGGTAAATGATACTCTTCTTGATTTGATTGTATATTTATTCAAATTTATTCAAATGAATGTATCCAAAGATATTCATTTCATAGTCACAGGAGATTTTTTTCAACTTTTTTCTGTAAAAGATGATTTTTGCTTCTTAAATAAAGACTGATATACAGACAAATCTGAGTGTTTACTTAATGAATTATGGAGTTATTTGATTTCATCTATGTTGGTTTAACTGAAATATTCAGACAAGATGATTCAGTATTTAAACATCATTGTACAAATTTGCAATACAGATTCTTCAATAATAAAACTTTTGATTATTTTAAGAAATGTGATTACTTTAAAGATGATGCAGTTTGATTATTTTCTCAAAAAAAGTATTATAATTAATATATCAATTATTATCTTAGCTAATTATTATGAAAAGATATTATTATTTATTGTAAAGATATATTTGATTATATTAAAGAAATTTGTAAGATTATTCTATTATTATATTTAATCAAGAATATAAAAATAAGAAAAACTTCAAGATTCTCAATTTTATCAGAAAACATGAAATTTTAGAAACTGTGTTTTATAATCACACACAATTAGAATATAACTTGAGATTATGTTTGGATTGCAGAATCATGGTAATACAAAATTACAGAAGGTGTGTCAATAGATTAATAGGAACATTTATTGATTGGATTGAAAGCAAAAAAGACAAAGATCATAAATCAGTAACCCAAATAGGTTATGAAATTGAATGTAGATATCATGATCTTGATTTGGAAAAAGGTAAAAAGTATTCTGATTATGATATAATCATTTGTCTTAATGATACAAATAAAGAAGTACATATTTGTATATGTGAGATAACAGAAAAAAATAAAAATAAGAAAAAATACACTAAAAAACAGTTTCTGATCATTTTGTTTTATGCTATAACAGTTATAAATCACAAGGTGTTACTTTAAAAAGTGTAGTTGTTAATCTATAAAATTGTATACAAAAATTAGCATTTATAGCAATAACATATATTAGTTCACAAAACATATTTGGTATTAGAAATTTAACAAAAGCAAGTATCAGTAAGTTAACAGCTCAAACTAAAAAACACAATACAGTTAAAGAATTTTATAATCATTATGTTAGTATCAATATTACCAAATTCCTATTAATTTTTAAAAAAGAATAGATTTTTTGTAACTTAAAAATATTATAATAAAATATCTTTAGTAATTAGTAAAAAGTCTTTGTTATAATCATTCTCCAAGTGGCAGATCTAAGGTTTAAATTCTACTTATAACAAAATTTGAAAATTATGTCTGCATTATGGTAACTGTCTCCTGTTGATCAGTTGGCATCATGTAACTGTTACCCAGGTACACCAAGTCAGGTCCTACCGAATATTGGGAGCTTGGGCATCTATGCAAAGTGTAACATTACACATAAATAGAGGAATGTATAACTGGTATTGCATAAGACTTTAGTGCAAACTTACAATAAAACTATCAGGTGTAGAAGACTAAGGAACTGAGATAACAGAAACCTACTTGAAAATTCCTAAGTAAAGTGGTAGCATAATTTTTGACAGTACTAACAGACCAGTTAAAGCCACAAAACACCTTCATAGGAAATGAAAATTAAAACCAGATAACAAATATGTATAGAGGAGCATATAACCAACTAGGCCACAGGATTTACTACAGAAAAAAGATATATAAATATACTATACCAAGCCATCTAAATTGGTAGTCTGAAATGAGACTAACGGTTCTAAGTTGTGGCTAGTAGGAGATAATGAAGAAGATGCTGAGAAGATAGATACTGGAGTTCTAGTGAACTTTACAAGAAAGAAATAGTGTAACATAGTGGTTAAACAGGTAACACCTGTGACTACAAGTATTAGATTACTATAGCATGTTGTATAAAACTAGGTCTATATATGTGAAACATAAAGGCTCTAGTAAGTTTCCTATCAAGGATAAAGTAGTTCTAAGAGTAATGATAAGCATCAGGAACTTGGATAGGTGTAGCCTTGAAATATTCTTGTAATACAAGAAGGATTGCATATGCAGAGGGTTTAAATAGGCAAGACCTCTAGTTGGCTTGCAGGTATAGCAACTAGTATAGAACTTATATAGCAATGTATAAGCAGATTACTTAAATTAGGCACCAAAAATGCATGTGTGGCTAGTTGTAACCTCCAATGTAAAGAAGCCCCTAGAGGCTTCTATTTTCTAACAAAACTTGAATAAAATATCATATCCTCAAGATAGGACCTTTAACTATAAAAAAAAAAAAAAAAAATTTTTGTCATAATAATTTTATTAGTTTAAAATAAACCTAAATAAATTCATATACTGCAGTATTTTATTTATATTAGACTAGGTTATTCGAACAAGTTTTATTAAGTTAATTGTATCAAATAATGTTTGCAATAGAAACTATATAAAATATTGTAAACCTATTACTAAAAGGTTTAAGAATCAGCAATAAAGCTATTTCTGAATTTATCAATAATGTTGCCAAAGGTTTTGTTGATTTTCTAAACAAAAGTAAAGTAATTAAATACCTTCAAGAAAAGCTCAGTATTATATGAATATACATTATAATTTTTATATTCTTGCAGGAAAGATTCTTACAAAGCTTCAATATGAGCAAATTTCTGTTAAATTCTTTAAATATATAAAACATATCTACAATAATTATTGTAATATATCAAATACTGTAAAAGAATATATTCTATTAATAAAAAAAGAATATTATGATATTGTAATCAATAATGCAGAATTCTTTGATTCTCTTATCAATTTTAGAAGAGAATATAATCATGCATACATGAAATATTTACAAAT